GGCCCAGTGTACGTATTGGAAGCTCCTGTAACTCTTGATTTACTTCGCGACTGCTCGATTTTAATGATTTGAGTAAGCGATTGGTAAGTGCGATGCTTCGGCACATTTTCACCTTTCTTGTCGTTACTTGTTGCGTCGCTGTTTCATTTCCTGTGTCTTGCATGATTTATTAAGGACTCTCGTTTCAGGTCGTTCGAGTTCCCTTATTACGTGGTTTTTCAAAAAAGCAATACACGACAGATTTGGAAGATTATGATTTGGTTGTTTTGAGTTTGAAGAACAGGAAGAAAGCGCTAGGATGTGATGATGAAACAACATGAAGAGACGAGAAGCAAACAAAGCCCGATCGATGTGGCAATCCCGAATATGGAGCACGTCCCGCAACCAAAGTCTCTCAGCTTTGAAGCTCTCAAGATCGACCGTGTTGCTTTTAGAATTTTGGCGTCAAAGTCTCTCACAACGAGGACGCAAGTACGAGTTCGCTAAAAGACAAATTTTGACTAAAGAATCAGCTACATATGGGTCATATGTGTATGTAGCATATATGGATGTATATGGATCATTCCCTCAGCCAAATTAGGGATGGCTGGGAAGAGCGAGAAGGTGATGGATGCTTCCCTCAGCTCATGCGAAGCCTTCGGTTGCGTGACCCTCGGCGTGCTGGCCTTCGGCCTGCTGCTGGCCATGGCGCCTTGGGCCATGAACTGCCAGGTGATCATGGGGTGTTGGGTGGGTTCAAACAGTGGTTGACCCAGTCTTATATATGTCTATAATTTATCATGGTTGGATCTATTTCTGTGTTTATCCATGTTTACAATGAATGGTTTTCGAACCTGTCCTACTTTCAAAAATAGTCATTTAGTTAAGTAGCTCGTCGGGGTTGACCTTCATCACGATGTAACCTTTTGGTGGTTGGTTTATCCAACCTTCTGGGTCAAAACTGATGGATGAACCATGAGAAGCCACCATGAGCTGCCCCATCACTCGATAAAGATGATTGGATTCATGATTGGGTTTCAAGTACCGTGATATAGTTGCTTGGACCATGGTGGTTTACTTCTTCCGGTGTTGATCATATTGGGGTTAGATTGAGTTTGTCAGATTTGGTATGTGATGGTTTGCACATATCAATGAATGATTGGTCAAGCGTGGTTTATCCATCCCTGACCTATGACATTGGTCTTCAGTTTCCCCTATGCAAGGCGTCATGACAATGAGCTACTGTAAATCATCAGTTGTGTCGATCAATGAACATGAAGATGGTTTGCAGAACGGGATTTTCAGCCGAGTGGCAAATAATAAGTTTGTTTCTGACATGTTTTGAGTTTTTTTCTAGTTTATGCTCGGTTTAATGCACCTGACCCGCTGGTTGATTGTTCGCTGGTGGCTGGACTGGCTGGACAATCATCCTACTTGACTTTGGGACATTTTTGGTCATGGTGATTAGCAGCAACCAAGTGAATATGATACCAATATTCATGTCTTGTACATGTACATTGTTACATATATATACTCATACATACTCATACATACACATACATACACATACTCGATATTGTCTAATCAATATCATGCCAGTGCCAGTGTTTTACCATGATCAATTGAGTGGTGCCATGCCATGATAATACCAACCAGTGAGCAACCTACAACGGCACAAACGGCCAATGCCTGATGGCTTGTAGCTTCTGGCACCCTTGCGCTGCACATCATTTGACTTACTGTTGGTTAGTAGGGAATGGAAGAATGGTAGTAATAGTAGTTATGATGGTACCCCATTCCTCCATTCCCTACTAACCAACGGTATGTTGAGGCAGCTGCCGTGCTACAAGATCTCAACGACCCCAACAACGGGCCACATGAGGACGTGGGGTTTAGGGGCCTTGCAGTTGCCAAGGGTTTTATGCTTACTGGTTGTTTAGGGTTTAGGGTTAAGGGTTTAGGGTTTAGGTTTAGGGTTTAGATTTAGGGTTTAGGGTTTAAGGGATTACTTATAACTTATCACTGATTGTGCTCACTACTTGCCCATGGCAAGAACCACTGATTAATCGTCAATGCTAGCGAGCCCCATGTGATAGTCCATGTTCGACGCGGGTTTGACCAGAAAGGTATCAAGCTCTGAAACGGCTTTGGGTCTTGAGTCACACGTTCATACCATTCGACAATGATGCTGACAGTTTAGTAGTTTGACTCACATCTTTGTTTGAACTATCATTGGCATTGAGTTTCTCAGCATTGTCAGGGAAACTATTGCAGATTTCTCACAATTTGCGGTGCTTGACCATGTCAAGGTTTTGGGCCCATCCAATCGTCTGTGCTTGCCTGTATCAACTGATATTGACGATTGCAAACCACTGCAAACCACAACCATGGTTCAAACCCAACCATCGTTCACAATCAGCCGCTGACCGTCATCAACCAGGATTGAAGATTGGCCAATGACAACTGGGCGAATTTTATGGGCTACCAGCTGTCCAGCGCGGACGAAACATGATTGACCAACATGTTCACGATAATCAGACTTGTTGAATATTCATGCGCATTTTTCGTAATGGAATTCTTGCTGAATCCTGCTGACATATGAGCATTTCTTCGTGCCAACTGGCAGCTTTTTTAATCAAAATGGACCATCGAACTTAGGATAGTCCATGAGAAGCAGCCACAGGAACCGGCAATTATGCGCTTTGTTGTGCAACAGCCACTGATTTATGTGTCATTCCAATGACTATTTTGTATCAAAAATTGCATTTGCCTATACATAAATATGCATACATGTATGTACATGTATTCTACATGCATATCCAAGATTGTTCAGTCTAGTCAGCGCGTGCATGCAGGTGTACAGATGCACATATCACGTGTATTAATGGTGGTTTTACCTCTATGAATAAGGATCATCAATCATCATACCCTAACTTTTCTTCATCCAAAATTTCAACCACTTCTTGATCCGTAATTCACTACAGATGTCACCACGCCCATCCCAGCCCCCAGCCGTGCACAGCAGGACCCATGCCTGAGCCCCTGGGACCCACAGCGCATGTCCTATGCGGAGTACGGCCACCTGCGGGCTTCCGCCCAGTGCGCGTGGCGGCGGCTGCTGCACCGCTGAGGCCATGGGGAAGTGGCGCCGGAGACGGGGTGGATGGCATCGCTAGGGATGTAGCAATGGTTGGTTCATAAGTCACAAAACCAACATCTGAGAAAGGGGTTTGCTAATCGGAGGGGGGGGGGCATTAATCCTGTGTGGGCATTAAATGATTGAAGTGCTTTCACTGCAATTTTCAGGTGCTGCGCTGAGTTTGCTCTACATGCACAGCTTGAGTCTCCACGATGGTGTATTCGCAGATGAGCAGATGGACTAGGAGGTTCTCTTCTGCCAGATGGTGTTGGTTTGCGATATGTTGGTTTTGAGCATAACGACTGGCCCATGGCATAGTACCTCCAGAAGATCGTGATCGTCAAAACGCGGAGCTGCGCCTGCACAAAGAGCTGGTCGACCTACTGGCCAAGGTTCTCCGAAGCCTGGAGGACGGCAATTGGGATGCCGAAAAGAGGAATCAATTCTACAGACTCTGCCGGGAACCAGCTGTTCTGCTCTTGCAGTTTGCAAGATTTGAAGAAAGTCTATGAGCAGCTTGGTACCACAGCAGTAGAAGGTTCAATGGATTCAGCTCAGCGGCAGCGCGTGACCTTGAGCAGGTTGATGGCCCGCATCTATTTCTACGCCAAGGCCCCCAGTTTTGAGGAAGACGCCAGCCTGCAGTTGCATGCTCAAGAAATGCAAGCACTGCTCGCTGATGATCGACGTAAAGTGGAGGCACTTTGCCTAAGATGTCAGGGAACTGAATCAACAGGAGGCTTGCGTCTTCACCCGCATAGAGATCCGCCTTCTAGCGCAGGACTGCAGGCGCCGTGGCCTGGTGGTCGAAAATCTGAAACCCGGACTGAATGAGGCGGCTCGTTTTTTCGGATGAAGCTGTTGGACTGCTCGAGATGCCGGCTGAACACGGTGGCTGGCTCCAAGCCCCCACATTGAGTCAAAAGGCTTTGATGATGCGCGCTGGCGGCTCTTCGCTGCAAGGTGATGGTTTCGTTGGACGCGCAGGCAGCCCGGAAGCCTTTGCGTTCCAGACCTGTTATGACAAAGACGACGCGGGTGCCCAAGAGGATCGGCTGCTGCATGAGGAAGAGGGTAGGCATCTGCTTGAGACGCTCAGCCTAAACCCCGAACTCCCAAAGGTTCTATGCGTTGTGTCTACAGTCTACAGCATTGCGTGCCCATTTGGGTACTTCACCTTCGCACCCTTAGAAACTTGTAATGCCCTGCAGAGAACCCTTGAAGGATCCGTTGACGGGACCCTGGAACCCCAAACCTCGGAAGTGCGAGGAGATCCGGCTGGAGTCTGGTGAAAAGTTCCAGTGGAAGGAGCCTGTGTTCAGATCTGACTTTCGCTTTCCTCCGCTCGGGAGGAATAAAAGGAATTGCGTGTCCGATTCTGTGCATCTTGAGCCGCAGGGGCCATTAGAAACAAATGATGGAAGGGATCGCAGGACTGCAGGCTCCACAGACTGCCATCTCAAGGGGTTTGCGACAGTGGTGGACCTAAGCATTCCTGGAGCTATTCAAAGATTAGGACTAGGACGGAGTGGTTCAATTCCTCATGCTGACGAAGCCGGACCGCAACTTCCCCGGCTTCGCTTCAACTCGCCGCTCAGTAACCAGCGGCATGCTTCCACCAAAACATGTAGCATCTGGCAAGCTATTCTGTGTATCGGCTGGTTGCTGCGTCGTATCATGAATTGTGTGATTCACGGGCCCGCATCTCCAATGGCTCGCTTTCCAGGAAGGATTCCGAAGAAGGATCCCTTTGAGCTTGCCACGTCAGGCGTTCAGGTCGCCGAAGTTTGGGTTGTCATGCGGCTGCTCATGTTCGCAACAGACCTACTGCTCAGCCGTCCTTCACAGCAATGCCCCCAATGTGCCGCTTCAATGGCAAGTGATGACGGACCCCAAAGCACCTTAGTTGCAGCTTTAAACTTCAAACTCAAGCAGATTTCAACACTCTGGCTGGCGATAGGTATGTGCAACCTTGTGTTCTGCAAACCCTGAACCTGACGTCCAAATCCTACACCTGCCGCCAGTAGAGTCTTCATGTAGGCCAGATTTGGCTTGAGAGTTTGTGAGGATGTGAGGGATTCATGATTCACGGACCTTCTGTCTTTTTTGCAGTTGAGTGTGATGAGTGGCGCTTTCAGGGAGACTTGGGATGCAAGAGCCGGAACATCCGCCTGCACGTAGCGGAGGTTTGGAGGTGATTACTGTTGAAGCGCTTTCTCTCGTCACTTTTGGAGGCACAAGCTCTTATACGGTCAACCAAGCTGTTCCTGTCAATGCCCCTTACTCTCAACACCCTCAACCATCCTGTTTCCGGTTCGTTAACCAGTAACAAGCGCCCATCGATGCAACAAATCGGGGGAACACACCCTGGTCGCAGAACGCGCGGCGGAAGCTGGGTTTGGGCTCCGGCGCTCTGGAGTTTTAGGGTTAAGTTCTTCAGCGGTACACACAAAGCTTGGATGAGCTGTGAGGCAACGATTGGCAAGTGGAAGGATGTCCTGGAGAACCGCAAAGCCGACGACAAAGATGAACTCCTAGTCGCGGTGGCGGATGGAGAACTGCCCGAGATTGAGAGACTCTTCGCGGAGTTGAAGGCCGATCGCAGTGCCGAGGCTTTGATTGCAGCAGTCCGAATGGAGGCCACGACTGAGGTCGTTTCGCTGTTGCTGGAGCAGAGAGCTTCGCCCTCTCTGTCGGACAGGCATGGATGGACGCCGCTCGTGGTGGCCGCGGCAAAGGGCAATCCGGACCTCGTTCGTTGTCTGCTGGATCATCGGGCGCAGGCACATTCAGATCCCGAGACCGGTGAGGGTGAGAAGAGAGTCGTGACACCCTTGCACGCAGCTGCCAGCTTTGCAAGCCTCAAGACGCCCGTCAAGACGGACAAGGAAAAAGGTGAGACGATAGCCTACCACTTTGCCTACAACTTTGTGCGAGTGGCCAGCATACTGTTGCAGAATCGTGCCGATCCAAACGTGGAGTTGCAGTGGGAGGGCCATCGATCCACATGCCTTCTTGCAGCTGCCAGCTCCGAGGCACCGTACAGTTATGCCCTGGACATGATACATCTCCTACTGATGCAACGAGCAGACCCAAAGATCACAATAGAAGATCGCACGGTGCTGTCGGTGGCTGCCGAAGGACGAGCCGAATACTTGCTGGAAGACCTGCTGCGTGGCGAGGGGGAGGAGTACACTGACCTGGTGCAGAGTCTGCTGCAAGAGGCCTGTGGCCAAGACGCATGATACTTAGCCAGCTGATAAGACGGGGCTTCCTTTGAGGCATGTTAAATTGCAACTGCAGCAAGAAGCCGGTAAGAAGAGCATCCTAGTATGTAGTGCTGCAGCTTGAAACTCCTTCGGGCCGCTTGGCTGGGGTGCAGGTCAAACCTGCACAAGGCTACACCCGCCAGCCGCAGAGATTGCAGGAGCCCGTGCGCACCATTCTTGGGCGGGGGAACATTGAGCAGGCCGGACCCAAACTCCTAAGCACTGAACCCAGCAATTTTCGTTGCGCGTTTCTGGCCTGGGTCTTGCCCTGAAGAGGTCACGGGGGTGCTGATGGTGGTGATGATGCTGACGGAGAAGACGATGCTGCTATACGACGATAAACATTGTGAAGATGAGGGAGATGGTGTGCATCTTGAAACTGATGTAACATGACGCAGAGATGGCGATGAAGATGAAGAATGACAAAAAACATTCATATTGAAGTTGAAGTTCAGTTTGACAACAGAGATAAGCTTTGTGATGTGGTGGGGTTGATCATGATGATGATGGTGGTGGTGCAGAAGAAGATGAGGATGGGCAGGGGTCACGGGGATGTTTTCCAGATGGGACGCATATATCCGTAGTAACGGAGTGACAGGCAAAGTTTTCCTGTTGTTGCTTTCGCTCTGGTTGCTTTGATTGCCGTGGTTGCTGTGGTTGCTGCTGCTGCTGCTGTTGGCTCCTGTGAGTTTGCGTGCGCGCGTGCGCGTGTGCCCGGTGCGTGGGTGTGTGTGGGCGAAAAGTTTGCAGGTTCAGAAGAAGCAATGGAGCGAGCGCGGCTGTGACTGGGATTTGGAATTGCAGAACTTGCGCTATGCGCCGACAGTCCAAGTGTCGTTACGATCTCTTCGCATCCGTGCGTCTGTGGCATGCGACCCCCGAAGCTTGCTTGTCTGGTTCCACGCGACCCTTTTCCTTCGTTTTGGTTGCGAAGCAGAAAGTACGATTCTGATCGTTCATCCATTTTATTCGCTTGGCTGACCAAGGAGTGCTGAACGCTGTGGCGCAGGCTGCTAACGACGAAACCTTGGCCAGTGATACCGTGGAGGTCATCACTACTGCGGCATGGCTGCAGTGGCGCGCGGTCACCGCTGCTTGGTTCTGAAAGACGTTTACATCTTCGCAGTTCCGGTGGTTTTCTGTAGTTTTTTACGGGAGGGCAGTTTTCGGCTTGTAAACAAGCATAAGGCCATAGACGTCTGTCTGGATGCTGTGGCGATTGCTTGCCTGTGTAGCGTCACCATCTCCTGCCGTGCTGGTGGTGATATGAAAGCTCGGCCGCAGCCTTGGTTTGCCAGGAGTTTTCCTAAACCCGCAACTCATAACCGTCATAACCCTAAAGCAGCAATCCACTGGATGGTCCCCATCTCACTTTCAGGGCGAAGTCGTGCTGAAGTCAGAACGCTTCCCTTTATCTGAACCGATTTGCTTGGGTCTTTTAGTGGCCCTCAAGCTCATTCCGAGGCTTTCATTCGCTGTTCTGATCCTCATTCAGGTGAAAGAGGCTACTGAATGGATCGTGCACTTCTTCTACTTGTCTAGAGGAGTCTTCGGTTTGTTGCTCAAACAGTATGTCTTCTTTGAACCAGTCAAGGGCGAAGACTGGCATGAAAGCGTGTCTGGGCAGGGTGCAGGAGTTCTGGAAACCTTTGCTGATTTGCTCTTTCTGGTCGTGGGTTGTGCCGCCATTGCAAGTCAGATGGAGCTCTGCAATGAGGAGCGGATGGACAAGGTGTGGATGCCATGGTTTTGCTCGATGTATTGGCTACGATTTGTTTACAGTTTACGCGGGGAGCGATGGCTGGGAATATATCTTCTCCCAATTCTGTCCGCGGTGCGAGATACCTGGGCCTTCTTCTTCGTCACCTTCCTTTGCGTCGGAGGCGCTACCCACGCCTACATTATCTTGGACCCTCGAGGAGGAGACCCCCTCCCGATCTACTCTGCGCTTACCCACACGGTGCGCCTCGCCATCTTCGGAGACTTCGACCTCTTCGAGTACCAGGGCCAGGACACCACCTTTGAACTGAACACGGAGTCCAACGAGTGGCAGCCCAAAGATCCAAGCCCCCGTGACCTGGGCTCAGATGGCTCAGATTGGATTTGGAGCTACGCCTACCTTCAGCTCTCCTTCTTCATCACCGGGATTGGCATCACGGTGCTGCTCATGAACCTCTTAATCGGCATTTTGGGGCATAACTACGATGCACACCAGGACCGCGCGCAGGTCCTCCTCGTCCAAGCCCGGGCCCGCATGTTGCAGGAGCAGCAGCGCAGGCCCTGGAGTAGGGCCTTCACTTGGCTGAAAGGACGCCTGAAGCCTGAAGAAACGAGTCCCGACACGGACAGGCTTGCCAAGATGACGACCAAGGAGTTGGAACATGAATTCTTTAACCCTGCACGCTTGCCACGGCAGTACCGTTACCCTGCTATTGTGGGCATCGTCTTGCTGAGTTCTCTTCGGACGATCATGGGCAAAGACGTCTTTGATCATTTTCTCGCAGGTGCAGTGTACCGGCCCGTGGTACAGAACCGCAGCCTGGCCTTTGTCATCTTGATCCTGTGCCCACTGCTCTTGGTTCTGTCCCTCGTCATTTGGGTGACCTTCTGGCCGCTCTGCCTGCTATTCCGGATCCAAGGCGCAATGTCCGGGGTTGTGAAGCCGCACCTTAGAGAGGCGGATAGCATGCCTCAACTTAAGCAGAAGTTCAGGAACGGCCTCTCGTGTCTAAGGTCACGGAATGTTCGCCCTTACCGCTGCTGCTGCTGCTGCTACGATTGCTACTACGAAACCTACCACTACTACCAGGCATACGGTTGGTGCGTGACGCTGTGTTTGGGCTTGTTGCTTCTCGAATGTTTAAGCTGCTTTTACTCTTTCTGGGGGGGGTCCTCATTTCTGCTTTCTTGCTGTACTACCATTCCAAGACGCCTTTTCTTCTCGAGCTTTCTCGTTTTGCTCGAGACGGGAAAGATCACGACTTGTTGGAGGTGCCGTTTTGACACGTTTTCGAGCCTTCGTTTGCAGTTAGACAGGATTTCTGCCAGCTAGACAGGGGTTCGCCCCTCGAAAGGGTTTCTTCTGCTTCTGGCTGGTGGGGAGGGGGGGTGTCTAGAACCCCGAAAACGCCGTACATTTTGGATGAAAACCTTTCCCAATAGCAAGGAAACGAGCAACTTCAGGATCAGGACCAAGCCACTATGTAAGTAACATTTTTCTTTGACTCGTAGTCTCCAAGCCAAAACCCAACACCGTCATCCTGAAAAACAAAACCTAAGCCCTACATCGTCCGCCGATCCCTGCTCTCACATCCCTCTGTGGTCCCGCAAAGTCAAAGGGTCAGAAGACAGGTGCAGTAATGCCACGTTTGGTCGGTGAAGTCTGAGATACACTGAGAACTTCGGGGTGTAATGCTGATGCTAGCTCTCTCGTTTGTGCATTCTAACTCATGGCTTAGATAGTAGACTCAACACCTCGTAGGACGGAAACCCAAAGATGCGTGCACCAAGTGGGACGATGCGTGTTTACAGAACCCTGGAGACAGGCGTGCGCTATGAGCTCAACCTCGCTGTCTTCGGTATCTTTCACACGAACTTCGCTTCAGAGTGCCACATCCTGGCACTCGTTCGGAGGGAGGATGGAAAGACCGACCTAAAGGACAGGGTTTAGGGTTGAGGATATTGGGTTTATGGCGACTCGCCGCGGATGATTGTGCAGAGGGGCCGAGGGATGCGGAGTTAATTCGAGGATTAGCGAAGTTTGGTCGCCGAAGCGCTTGCTCAAACGAGCAGAGGGTTCGAGGTTGAGTTTGGAGGTATCGAACTTACGGTTGATGTCGACGAGGCTGGGCTCTGAAAACACAGTGCACAGGCCCTTCAGCCCAACCCTGACTTCCAAACCCTATATTTCGAGCCAAAGAAGAGTATACAAAATGCTTAACCGGCTTAACCCGAACCCTCAAACTCTAAAGCTCGGAGCTTAGAGGAACGGATCGAGAAGCTGGAGGACCTCGTCAAGGCCTGCAGCGTGACGTTGTGATACCTTTGTTAGTCATTGTTCGAGGTAACTAGCAACAACGGCATCTCAACACCACGGTACAGTAGCGCATGAAAGCAGTGCCAACTCCAACCGTCGTGGCTTCTGCCGAGCTCCTCTGCTGTCTGCTGCCGCCACGGGTCGGCACGAGTGCAAAGCTCGAAGTGCTGAGCCCGCGCTTCTGCGTGCAATGTTGAAACAACTCAGATTGGCTTGGCACGGTGGCCTAGCTTCGGGAGGTGCTCCCATTCGTGTGGCTGCTTGTCTCAGGACAAAATGGACAAGGTGTTGACTTTGCTCGATGCAGGCTGGCAGGGCATACAGGGCAAGGTCAAGACCTGCGCAACACGAGACCCATGTCATGAACACGCTGCGGCCTGAAGAATGAACGCCTGATTCCTGCAAATCTTGTTGTGGGGACTCCGCATTAGCTGAGAGGGTGCGATCTCTATAGCTAGGGAAGGGGGTAATCGTCGGTAATCTTCATGTGAAAATGTTCACCTTCAGACGCCTTGCGTTGTTCAACATGCAAATTTTGGCTTCCTTTCCCTCCAGACACATCCTAAACCTGAACCCCAGACGCTAGGACTGCCCAAAACCCAAGTGTTCAGAATTGAGGAGCGAACGGCTCCTGCACGAATTCCAGCACTCCGATACCCAAAGTTGCGATTCTTGACAAGGTAACATAGGTGCCTAAATCATTACCCAAACTATTTTGGGGGTTCCTTATTATACTTATTGTATACTATCCCCCAAACCTTATTCTAATTTTTAAGGCCCCTACAGTAGTTGATATTCTTGTAGTATAGGAAGAACACGAGAACGGTGATTCGTGATGGTGCACATCTGGTGAAGATAGTCATAGCAATACTCGGTGCAATGCTCAGACCAGCAGTGGTAGTTATAGCCATAGCAGAACGATGCTGATCGTCGTGAGAATGTTCAGCCTGCTACCACCATCAACGGGCAAGTGAAAACTGCGAGACATTCGGATGTCACCGGAATCATGCAAATCCCCCAAAGAGGTGCATCACACACAGCAAATATACTGGCAATGCTTCCGAGAGTAGGCATCACAGCGCGAGTCATGCCACAGCGACATTATTTCGTACTGCTGCAGCAGCGATAACAGTGAGACTAAAGCCCCAGTGGCTAGAAGGGCCATCCCCATCTTCATGTAGTTAGGACAGCCGTCATCATACTTATCATGCGATCATAGGAAAGGCCGCCGATTATGAAGATTCTATTAATGCATCTATACTGCTGCTGCTGCTGCCTCTCCAGCTTACTGCTATTTCTGGTGCTGTGACGATGAGGACTGCCAGCACAGTAATTGCTGCATCAACATAAACTACTGAAGCTGCAGCAGCTGTGGCTGCTGCAGCGACGACAACTACTAGAACAACAGCAGCAACGGCAACAACAACTAGAGCCACCATAATCGCAACAGCTAGAACTTGAACTACAGCTAGAGCTACGAATTACAACAGCAGCAAAAACAAGCGCAACAACACCATCATCACCATCACCAGCACCCAGCAGCAGCAGCAGCAGCAGCAGCAGCAGCAGCAGCAGCAGCAGCAGCAGCAGCAGCAGCAGCAGCAGCACCAGCAGCACCAGGAGCACGAGCCAGCACCAGCCAGCACCAGCAGCACCAGCAGCACCAGCAGCACCAGCAGCACCAGCAGCACCAGCAGCACCAGCAGCACCAGCAGCACCAGCAGCACCAGCAGCACAAGCAGCAACAGCACCAGCAACAGCAATAGAAACAGAAGCGGCGCCACCGCCAACAACAACACCACTGACAACAGCAACACCAACGACAACAACGACAACAACGACAACAACGACAACAACAACAACGCTGCTGCTGCTGCTGCTGCAATGGTAATGCTGCCGCCACTACTACTACTACTACGACGACGACTACTACTACTACGACGACGACGACTACTACTACTACTACTACCGTTACTACTACTACTACTACTACTACTACGACTACTACTACTACGACTACTACTACTACTACTACTACTACTACTACTACTACTACTACTACTACTACTATTTTCAATTGAGCGCTGCGCGAGCGTCCTCTGCGCTTTGCGGGTGCCTTTGGTCCCGTGCACTCGTGAGACATATGACTTGCAAGCATCAATCGCTCTGATTCCTCTCATTCTACTCCACTAGACTAAGTCTATACAGCGTTGTCCTCCTCCTCCGCCACCCTGTTGTGAATTGACGCGTCCGTCATTCACTTGTTTCAGCAAGTAGGTCGTACTCCTTACGGAGCCGGCGCCTAGAGTACCCGTCTTGTGGCGTCCCACACGGGTTACTCATGCTGAAGACAGAGGGCCGTAAGGATCATTCATGGGTACCTGCAGAGCTGATATCGGAGCAGTTTGCGGGTAAGATACTGCTGGCGCGAGCTGAATGCTATGGCCGACTTATTTTGCATCAGGTGGCGCGCGGCAGCACCGTCTTCCGAAGAGATGGCAAAGCGTCGGAAGATCGTCTTGAATTCCCAGAGGCTGTGCCATGCGGGATGTTGGATGTTGGGAGTCTGTGACATTGCCCTAAGGTCACTGGTTGTGACCGTGTGGCCACTGTTGAGGAGACTGATAGTATCCTCGCCAGGACCACTGTTGCCACCACTCCCAGTCCTCTTCTTGAGAGGAGCGTGCCGGCCTGGCCCACTGACTCGAGGATGAAGATGATGGGGCATCGCGTTGGCGTTTGCCCTCAGGATCTGCCTCCCTCGCTTGCGGCCGCTTGTTCGGTGCAGCAGCCGCAGCTAGGCGAGCAAGACGTTTGTCCTCTTCGATCCCCTTGTCATGCTGGATCCGCATCTTCATGATGGACTGGGTGTCCCTCGTGGGCTTGAGCTTGAACATCCGTGCAGGAAGTCCAGCCAGTTTTGCCGCTTCATTGTAAACTGTCATAATGGAAGTGGCAATCAGGTTGAACTCGATCCTCGTAGGAAAGTGTCGTTGAAACTCGGGTTCCTCCCACATCTTGTTAAAGCATGCATGGATTAATCCATGCACCTTGGTGGGTGCATCCAGCTCCTGATAGGTTTCGCCAGAGCCCGTGGCAATTGTAACTCGCCCATCATTGGTGAGGACTCTGCGCACTGACATAGCAATGTCCCAAGTCAGACCTGATTGAGTCTTCACCAGCTTTATGGCTGAGAAGAGTGGAGGCACCTGGCTGAGTGCTGCCACCCTGGTTGACCAGAGGTTGTGCTGCTCCTGGTTGGTGAGTCCCCCCATAATGACAGGGGTCACCAGGATGTTGATGGAAGCAAGCACTCGAATCCAATCCTGGTGAGATGGGGAGCTCAGCATTTGGACAAGCTCCAGTCTGGCATATTTGATGAGCTCTGGCGGTGCTAGCCCACGGGAGGAGCGTTCTTTGCTGGGGGCGCGTAAGCCGACGGAGGGCGAGAGGCCGGGGGAGGCGTTTGATCTCGCGGGGTGGAGGATGCTGGTGCTGCCTGCTCGCGTTGTGGGGGTGCGTCCTTGGGAAGCTGAGGGGGCAGCAGGAATGGCAGGAGGGGGTGCCGGCGCAGGAGGGGGGGAGGAGACCACCGAGGGGGGAGGTTCAGAGCCAGCAACCGTTGACGGGCAGCGGCCTGTGACTTCGCTTGGTTCGCCTGAAATGCTGCTTTCTCCGCTGCGGTGGAGGTGAAGGGGCAAGGGGGGGCAGGCGGTGGCGCGAAGCCGGCTGCTTTGTCAACCCCTTTGGTACGGGTTGTGCTGGGTGGCAGAGGGATCTCTTGTGGGGGGGGGAGGAGGACAGGGTGTGGAAGATGCTGCTGCCGGGGCTCCAGGTGCTGAAGGCTGTGGCACCGGATCATGCTTGGCGGTAACGAAGTGGTTCTTGATGCCGTAGCCTGTGTGAACTGAGTGTTTCGGTTATGCTTCCGACAGTGGAGGGCAACATAACCACATTGCCCCTGAAACTTCCATTTGTCCGAGTCCCCGCGGGATAAGCTCCAACACATCCTGCTCCGAAGATCTTGGTTGTAGTAATGAGTCTCACGGACTGTGGCCATGAGCTCCGCAAAGGAGTTGTTTTGAAGGCTCTCGGCCACGTAAGACTCGATCTCCTCCTGGGTGGGTGGAGGAGGGGCCGCGGTGGCCTTTGCCGTGGTCTGTGACCTAGGTGGCGGGAGTCCACCTGGATTTCCAGAGACAGCTCTGGGACTTGCTTCTGCAGCATTCGATCAGTTCGCTCCTTGGTGGTGGGTCTCCCTGGAAGCCTTTCTGCCACTTCCAGCATCTGGTGTAGGCAACCGTGGTACGGTTGGCCGTCACGAAGAAATGGCCGTCATTCTCATAGGTCTTGTTCTTTTTGTGCCTGTCCCAGCACTCCTGCAGCAAGTATACGGGCCCGTACTTGCCGGAGATGTTCCAGCCTGGTTGGGGGTCATGACCCAGATCCCGGCCCAGGGTCTGCCAGAGAAACTTGCAGAAAATCATATAATCCAGGTTGGCCTTAGCCGTCAGAACCTGACGGCTGAAAGCGTGTTGTATGGCTTCCCTCATCAAGGGATGGCGGGGCTTGCCATAGATGATGCCCTGAAAAATATGGTCCGCCTTGACTCCGATGGCCATGACCATGAACTCCTGCGGGAGTTGGCCATGTGGGGAGGGTCTGTGACCCACTTCACCTGCCAGTTGCGAGCGAGCTGTGCTCCAATCTGCTGCCATGAGTTGCAGTACCTGCTCCCAAGGTACCACAAATCCGCATTTGATGTCCACATACAGGCCGCCTCGTTGGTAGCGGGCTGCCTGAGGCGATCCAGCAGATTGGAGCCGTAAGTCCCCGCGAGTTTCACCAAGGTGGCTCGAAGGATGTTGTCATCGCAAAACTCGCGTGTAAAGCCTGGGAACATCTTGGCTGCTATTTGAGCAGGCTCTGGCTTCTCGTCGTGGACGTAGGTCTGAAAGAGGATCTTGGGGGGGGAGTCCGCGCCAAATCCGGGAGATGCTGGA